ATTGTTTAATTTCTTCTTTAATTTCATCTGTGACTCATTGGTTGTTCAGGGGGATGTATTATGGAGGTTTTGTAGTTTGTTTTGTCATTAATTTCCAGTTTCATTACACTGTGGTCAGATAATATACATGGGATAATTTTGATTCCTTTGCAAGTAAGCATGCTCTATGGATTAGTATGTGGTCTGTTTTAGAGAACAGCCCGTATGGAGCTGAAAAGAATGTGTATTCAGATTTTGTTGGGTGAAATACTCTGTAAATGTCTATTAAGTCCATTTGTGCAATGGTTTGGTTCAGTTCTGCTACTTCTTTGCTAATTTTTTTTTCTTTTATATCTGCCTAAAGTTGTTTTCCTTTCCTGGCCACTAGATTGTTCATTAGCTTTTTAAGCCAATGGGGTGTTAAGGTCCCCCATTAAGATTGTGTTATTGGTTATTTGATTTTTCATTTTCTTTAAAATTCGTCTTAAATAGTTGAGTGCTCCCATATTTGGTGCATACATATTAATGATTATTATCTCTTCTTCTCAAAGTTTTCCCCTAAGAAGCATGTAGTGACCTTCTTTATCTATTTTGATCATTCTTGGTTTGAAGTTCACATTATTCAAGAACAGAATAGCTATCCCTTCTTTTTTCTGAGTAATTGGCACATGAATGTTTTTCATCCTTTTATTTTCAGCCTATGAATTTCCTTTTGAGTTAAATGTATTTCTTATATACAATATATTGCTGGATTTTGTTTCTTGATCTACTCTGCCAGTATATTTCTTTTAATTGGTGAATTGAAGCCATTATCAATGATAGTTCTAACTGATATGTATTGGCTTGTCTTTGTCATTTTATTTTCCTGCTGTTGGTTCCCTACTTTTTCCCCATATTTAATTGCTTGCCCTGATTGGTGGTTTCTTCCTGTTGTTGTTCTTGAAATTGTGGTTATTTTTTTCTTTTTCTAGAATATCTTTCAGTACCCTTTGTAGGGTTGGTTTGGTGGTCATCAATTTCTTTAGTTGTTTTTTTCTTATAAATATTTTCTGCGATTACTTCTGCAAATAGTTTTTTAACGTTATCTGTGTTCAGTTCTTTTTAACTGACACCTACCATTCCTATGTTATTTATCTTTGCATCATCTTGTAGCTGTTGAATTATTATTTCCTGGTTCCTTGTTATTTTTAAGAGATCTTGGGGGCTGGTGAGATGGCTCAGTGGTCTAAAGCACCTACTTAGAACAAGTTTAGCAAAAACACATGGACCGCGGTTCAATCCCCAGCACCACATGCCAGCCAGTCCCGCCCCCTGGTGGGCTGAGCTGGCCACACACACACACACACACACACACGCAAAAATAAATAAATAAATAAATAAATAAATAAAAAGAGAGATCTTTCCTTTCCTGGCCACTAGCTACAATGATGTCTTCGAGGTCTTAAAGTATATCTTTAGTTATATTCAAACAGTTTTTCCAGCTTTTAATGGAATTTTTAATTTCCTGGATATCGCTTTGGATCTATTTTGTGCATTTTAATTCTTTTCTATATTGTTCATTCAAGGTTTTCATCATCTTCTATGCTCTACTACTTTTTATCTATGTCTTCTTTAGATATGCTCAACAATTCTTTCATTATGATTATCATTTCATTTTTTTTTACCTTAGAGATTATTTCTGATCTAATTTCCTCTATACCTGCCTAAAATTGTTTCTTTATTTCAGTTGCTATCATTTCACAGGATTCAGGTGTGTAGCTTTCAATTTCTTCTATGTTGATGCCTCCAGGACTTGTTCTGGGTGGGCTGGAGACCTGAGATTGTATTTTGCTCCCTTGTCTTGTCATTTTCTATTACAGAAAGATCTCTTCATTTTGATTTCTGTAGAAATCCTTGTGAAATTCCAATAATAGGTAGCTATATCACTATTATCAAGGCCACACTAGGAAGAGTCCATTCTCCTATGTGCTGGATATTCTTGGTTTGTATCTGTCCTGAGATCCTGCCTTCCCAATTAATTGAGTGTGGGATGTTGTTTTCCATTTGGCACTGTCCTCCATCTTTAGGTGTAGGGCTGTGGTGAGGTTATTACCCGAGCAATTCCCAATATTGTTACCCAAAGGAGAACAAGTGGCTAAAGCAGTTATTACATCCTAACTACAGTAATACAATTCACAATAATGAGAACATCAAGTAAAATTTAGAAATTGACAAACTTTGGTAACTATTGATTTTGTACATTAGACAAAGAGCACAGTATATAGTTATATAACAGAACAAATCACAAATTGGGAGTTTGTATGCAAAGTATTTCTCTTTGTCAGCCTGGATTTACCACGTGTTCCTTTGGCCAGGCCAGTCACCAGTTTCTAGGTGCTTCATGTCATATAGGGGGATGGGCCAGGTACCTGGACTCCTCTGGCCAAGCTAGTTGTCCAGCGTCCTGAGTGCATCCACGCTGGTTGCCTTTTCCACAGTGCAGGGGAATGGCCACCTATACCTAGATTTGTTGTTACAATTAAAAGAGATCATGCATGGCAGAATATTTCACAGTGATTGTCTTAGCAAATGGCAACTCCTAATTTACCATTCTCTGATGTGTGATGAAATCAGAAGTTAACAATAAGCTTAAGAGAAGTCTCCATCAGAAAAGCCTCACACTTAAATGGCAGAATTTTTACTTCTAGGGTTCAATGCATTAATAGAGTTGAAAACAGGGTAATTTTATGTCCTGGGTTATACACAGCCTTTAGCTTTTTATTCATCTACTTTCTGAATGTTTCTAGCCCTACAGAGTTAGATAAATACTTTAATATGGCTCTTCATCTGTAAGGAAATAATGATAATGTGATAATAAATCTCCTCATGTATCCAACACAGATTTATTGAGCATTTGTTCCTAGATGGCCAAGTACAGTGCACTAAAAAAAAAGTATCTGCTCTTATGGACTATATGATCTGATGGTGGCATAAAGGCAGAAGAATAAATCAGTAGACTCTGGGTTCTTAGTAGATATAGGTGCTAAGAGGGGAAAGGGGAAGGTTGCAATTCTAAAAGCTTCTAGTCTCTGTAAACAAGTGGTGCTTCAACAAAGATCTGAAGAGAGGTTAAATTGGTGAGCCCTGAAAATAAATGTCTGGAGAGCAGACTCTGGGTAGAGGGAAGAGCAAGTATAAGGGCAGGGATACACACAGCAGCTCAAAAATATCAAAGAAACCAGTGTGGCCGAATGAAGATGGCCCAGCGGGGCGAAGGCGGTGATGGGACTGAGCTGTAAACTGGAAGGAAGACGGGGAACTCTGCAGACCGCTGTCAAGGCTTACACTGCCCCTTAATCAGAATGGCATGTAGGCTTTCCAGGGGCAGAATTTCCTACCTCTGTGTCCTGTTCTGGTCTGATTCAGGAACCTTGGGTTTATCTAGCAGGACTCTTTTCCCCAGCCCCTGATGGATACCTGCTCCAGTGAAGAAAAGCACAAATGAACCTGTAATGGAAGCACCACCTGACCAGGGTGTCCATGGGCCTTGGAACCTGTGGGCATTTATGGGCTCCTGGGAGGAATGGAAATAGGTAGAAATTGTTCTAGGGCTTGGAGAGATTTTTTTCTATCAAATTCAACTGATTCCAGCCATTCTTCTTCATGTACGTGCCAGTTAAGTTATGCAAAGCAACCCAGGGCCTCCTCCCCAAATCTGCCAGGATAAGCCATGCAGAGAGGTCAGTGCCAGACACAGATTAGGGAAAAACAGAGGTGACAGGTATGTACATCTTCCCTTCTGGGCAGTACTTTCCCAAGCACTTGAATCCATGTGTGGTGGCACATACCTGTAATCCTAGCCACTTGGGAGACTTAGGCAGGAGGATCACAGGTTCCAAACCATTAGGGGTATAATAGTGAGATCCGGTCTCACTAAAAAAGGACCCTTGATCCTGGGGATGGGAATGTAGCTCAGTGGTACAGCATGTGCCTTCCTGAGCAAGGACCTGGGCTCTATGCCAGCATGACACACACACAGTGACACTTGCTCCAGCCACATCCCCTCTGCCAACATGAGCATACTCAAGTTAGTGGTAAAGAGCTCCTCTTTTGGACAAGCATCTCCCTCCTTAGGCCAGTAGTCCCCCCGTGCATGCATCAGCACAGAAAATTGCTTAACTGGAAAATTTTGTTTTTCCTAGGGAAATGTAAAGGTGAGGTGATACAGAATCAGGGCAGCACAATTATGCCTTTGCCTTCAAAAATGATCCCACCTCGATTTTAGAACCTATGTAGAGACAACATTTACTTATTCAAGCCATCTTTGATATCCCTTAGATGTTGAACCTTAAACATCTTTTCATAGTATACCAGTGTCATACACAAGTCAGGCAAGTGCTGTACCACTGAGCTACATCTCCAGCGCTTTTTAAACTTTATTTCTGAGACAAAATCTCACTAAGCTCCCTACAGTAGTCTCCAACTTGGGATCCTCCTGCCTCAGCCTGCCAAGAAACTGAGATTTCAGCTGTGCACCACCATACCTGGCTATCTGTCTCTTTCTATTTGGGGGAGGGACAGGGTCTTGCTATATAGTACAGGCTAACCTTGAACTCACTATGTAGCCCAGGCTGGTCTCAAACTTGTGGCAGTCCTCCTGTCTTAGCTTCCTGTGTGCTGGGATTACAGGTGTGTGTTACCACACCCAGAAGCTACTTCAAACTTTTGGCCCAACAACCTTTGTTTTTAAGTCAATTAATTTATTTGGTACAGGGTCTCCCTATGCAGCTTGGACTCACAGTGATCCTCTTATCTCAGCCTCCCCAACACTGGGATTACAGGTGTCCACCACCATGCCCGTTTTCAGTGGCCTAAACAGCACACCACAGTTCCGGGGCTAGTGGCATGCAGTACCAGGGATTGAACCCAGGTCCTTGCCCTTGCCAGGCAGGAGTTTGGACAACTGAGATATCTCCCCAGCCCTCAACAACCTTTTTATTGTTTCTCCTCATGTACCAAAGTAGAATGGTCAACTAACTTACCGAAATGAGCTTCTGAATGTATCTCCGGCCCTTTTCTGCTGTGAATTCACCATGAGTGATTGCCCGGACTTTCCTGGTGTAGTATTTAGCTTCTGTAAACAAGGTGTGAATTTGTTAGCTGCCTGGGAGTGTGGTGTTACACACTGAGACAATTCTTTAGGCAAGCAATAAGGTTACTACCTCCCACAGTCTCAAAAGCAGCCTGAAGGACATCCTCAACTACATTAAAGGCTGCCTTCATCAGAGGCCCCTTGCTGTCATCCTCTGTAGCTGGTCCAGGCCTGTTGTCTTGTATGTCTGTCACATTCCTGTTGTCTTCTGTATCCGCTGTTCTTATCTTATCCGAAGATTTCTCATCAATAATCACTACCCTCAGGTTTTTGGTCTTTGTACTCTTCTTCATTTTCTTTGGCCTAGATTTAAAAAAAAAAAACAACTCAAGAAGTTACTCTCCATGTGTGTTTATATGCATGGGAATGTTCTCAAGTCCAGACTCTCCCGAAGTCAGACACAGGCCACAGTCGTCACCTTCCTGGAGGAGACCAGAGGTGGGGCATAGAAGTGAGATCTCACGGCAGGCCCTTTGTACCTGACTGCTCAGATTCACCTTTCCTGAAAATCAAGGCTTTTTACGTTCTCAAAACCATGCAGATTTAAAATAAAATGTAGTAGAATGATCCCTAACTTCTTTGGGGTTCCAGCTAGAATTCCAAATATTCATTTCTGGGTGAGCCTTTTAAAGAACCCCATTCCCTACTTTGGGCAGCTAAGGGCACAGTACTGTTGAAACATAGTAAATTCTCTCCAGGTATGGTGGCCTGTCCATGCAACAGGGAGCTAATAGGGAGTCTGAGGTAGAAGGATCACAAGTTTGAGGTCAACATGGACAACTTTTTGAGAGCTTGTCTCAGAATAAAACTTAAAAAGATGTAGTTCAGCATTCCCTGAGTTCTGTTATAACCTGTACAATTGATTCAAATTTGTAACTCTGTATGTTTCCACTGTAACTTTGTTAAGGAGGACTGTTTGGCATAAGCTGACAACCTAGACTTCATCTTTGTGGCTCAGTCCATCTGGCCTCTGAACACAGTTGTATTAATGTTCAAAATATTCCTTTGTTCTGAGCCACAGATTGTTTTTTTTTAACAAATAATACACTGCATATATTCTTCTTAGTGGTTAATTGCTGTACAAGATGCAGACTTGTGATCCTACTTACAAATACCATTAGAAAAAATCATTCTATTCATTAAGAGAATGCAACTATATATCTATCCCAACCACTTTGAATACAC